AAGATAAATACCATGTGGTTTCACTTACATGTGAAATCTCAAAACAAAACAAAACAAAATAAAGAAAACAGCAAAAGACTCATAGAGACCAATAAATGACTGATGGTTACCATGGGGGAGGGGTTGGGATGCATGGGTGAAATAGGTGGAGATAAAGAGGCACAAAAATTTCAGTTATAACATAAATTAATCATGAGATGAAAGTACAGCATAGAGAATATAGTCAATAATTCTGTAACATCTTTCTACGTTGACAGTAACTACCTTAGTTGGGGTAAGCATTTAATAATCTATGTAACTGTTGAATCACTGTGTTGTACACTTAAAACCAATATGACATTGTGGTCAACTACACATCAATTAAAAAAAGATAAAAAAATAAGAATCATATTTTCTAAAGGATTAGGAGGAACATTTGCTTAAGGTCTTAGACCAACCAAAGCACAAACTCAGAAGGAGCAGGGCAAAGATACAAAAGGATTTTGATCCTTAAAGTTAAAACTGAGTTTCAAGAGACTTTAACTAGAAATTTAGCTGAGGTTAGATGTTTGGATTCAGAGAGTAGATCAAGTGATATTAACCTAGAAGACTCTAGAATCCTGCAGAATAATTTATGTTCAGTTTTAAAAATTTTCATCATTCCAAAAGCAAAAAGGGAAACCCTTTGGAAATAACAGAATTACAGAATGGATTCATTTTTCAACATAGATTTTTCTGAGTGCAAATAAAACATAAGTAAATTATAAAAAGTGATGCAAGTGGGTCAGCAAGGAAGTTGTTTTAATTAGAGGTAAGATTAAGTATGCATTATTTTTACAGAAACAAATAATTATTCTTTGGGAGGAAAAAACTTAAAAATACACATAAACAGCAGTGTATGTACTATGGTTAGGACGTTATCCTTTGTTTTCCAAGGTTTTTTGGGAAATGAGCTTGCTCCCAAAAGATGCTTAAAAAGGAGGGGGGAGAAAGACAGGCAGATGCAAAGAAAAAGGAACACAGATACAGAGAAAGAGAACAAGCTATGGATTGAAAAGCTTAAGGAAAAGATAAGGATTATATTGAGATTTTAAGGTAGATAGGAACTACATTCAGAAAAGAAGAAAGTTCCAGTCAGAAAAGAGCAGTGATGTGCAGGATTGAAGGCCAAGGTGCACTTGGTTAGTGGAATGGTTCAGCCAAAACAGCAAGGTTCACCTGGGCTTGCTTGGGCTCAGAAGAGAAACAGGACACAGTAGAACAGAGTTAAGACAAAACTGAGGAGAAATTTAAAAATCCATGTTATGGAATATAGGCAATGAGGTAATGGTGAGCCTCTGAAGGTCTCTGAGCTAAGAAGTGACAGCATGAAAAGATGGTTTTAAAATCATTTGATGGTAATTGTCTCAATGTATCTTAAGGCTTCTTCGCCTCTTAACCAAAACTCCCAAATCTAATTATACAGTTTGCATTTTTACCTGACCTATATCTCTATTTAGATGCTTTGTCCTATCACCAAACTATATGTGTAAATATACACACATATACACACATACATATATTTATACACACTCATCATATTGCCTCCCAAATCATTTCCCATACTATATCCATAACTTTCCCAACACCCACACCTTGACCTTCCCTATCTTCTGCTTTCTTTCCTCCCTCCTTTCCTTCCTAATCACAGGTAATCACGAAATCCAACTGAACTCTCCTTTACCATCTTGAGAAGCTATCCATTACAATATCCACCATCAATCCCCTATTTCAGGCTGTCATGAGATGGACAATAGAACAATAGTCTCCTATTTGACATCCCTGTAGCCAGTATTTTTCGCATCCAATTCATACTTCACAATACTTCTTGGCACATGTCTTCAAGTACTCCACTCCTCATGTCTCTCTGTCTTTCCTCGGGCTCTACTCTCTGCCTAGAACGGCCTGTCACCTCTCTCAGCCTGGGAAGTCCGTAACTTTCTTTTAAGATCCAGCTCAAATTTAAGCCACATTCTCTAGGCATTTAGTCACTCTCCTCCATACTCTCAGAACTCTTGTTAAATACCATTATTATAGCAGATTTTATTTTCTGTGATTTTTATGTGGAGTGCACTTGGTTAGTGGAATGGTTCAGCCAAAACAGCAAGGTTCACCTGGGCTTGCTTGGGCTCAGAAGAGAAACAGGACACAGTAGAACAGAGTTAAGACAAAACTGAGGAGAAATTTAAAAATCCATGTTATGGAATATAGGCAATGAGGTAATGGTGAGCCTCTGAAGGTCTCTGAGCTAAGAAGTGACAGCATGAAAAGATGGTTTTAAAATCATTTGATGGTAATTGTCTCAATGTATCTTAAGGCTTCTTCGCCTCTTAACCAAAACTCCCAAATCTAATTATACAGTTTGCATTTTTACCTGACCTATATCTCTATTTAGATGCTTTGCCCTATCACCAAACTATATGTGTATATATACACACATATACACACATACATATATTTATACACACTCATCATATTGCCTCCCAAATCATTTCCCATACTATAATTCCATAACTTTCCCAACACCCACACCTTGACCTTCCCTATCTTCTGCTTTCTTTACTCCCTCCTTTCCTTCCTAATCACAGGTAATCATGAAATCCAACTGAACTCTCCTTTACCATCTTGAGAAGCTATCCATTGCAATATCCACCATCAATCCCCTATTTCAGGCTGTCATGAGATGGACAATAGAACAATAGTCTCCTATTTGGCATCCCAGTAGCCAGTATTTTTGACATCCAATTCATACTTCACAATACTTCTTGGCACATGTCTTCAAGTACTCCACTCCTCATGTCTCTATGTCTTTCCTCGGGCTCTACTCTCTGCCTAGAACGGCCTGTCACCTCTCTCAGCCTGGGAAGTCCGTAACTTTCTTTTAAGATCCAGCTCAAATTTAAGCCACATTCTCTAGGCATTTAGTCACTCTCCTCCATACTCTCAGAACTCTTGTTAAATACCATTATTATAGCAGATTTTATTTTCTGTGATTTTTATGTGGTACTCTCCCCTGTTAGACACTAGGTCACTGCTTTCTTGTATCCCAGCATCCAGCATAATACCCAATGAAGCCAATACACATTTGCTGAATAAAGAAACTGGACAATGTCTTAAGGCAAAGGATAAAGGCTATTCCCTTGGATATTCTCCCTATCTGAAGCTCTACCCAACTTCTTCATTCAATAAACACTCTATTACTCCCCCATTACTCATAAAACACATATACACAAGTATTTAACAAGGCTATCGGTGATCTGGGCCTACCTACAAACTCAGACTGATATATCAGTCACCACTCTGTACATTATTTTCAAGAAACACTCAACTATCTGTAGTTCTCTGAACATGTAATTCTCTCTCACCCCTCTCTGCCTCTGTACCTGCTGCTTTGTCTGCCTGAAAGTCTTTCTGCTTGTCCACCAAGAAATTCCTCTTTATTCTCTAACATTTGTCTGGTTACCATCTCCTAGTAAAGCCAGCTCTGATTTCTTTCTTTTCTCGTCTCCCTAGACTCAGGTACACCTCCATCACCACATGCATTACTCTGCTGGATAAGCTTTTTCTGTATTTGTTTCTACTACTATGTAAACTCCTTGTGGATCTAACCCTGTTTCGTTTAACTTCTGGGTTCCCAGTGCTCAGTCTGGGCCGAGAGGAGGGGGAAGAGATGGAAGAAGAAATAACAAAGATAGCTGACATTTATGAGCATCTCCATTACCAAACATTAGATAGATTGCTCCTTTGAAGGAGGCATTCCTATTATACCTATTTCAAAGTAAAAATAAGACAGGAAGATTAAGAACTTGCAAATCTATTCACAAATCTAGTAAGTGAAGAAGCCAAGATCTTATTTCAGGCAGTCTGGCTAACGCCTTTCTGGAATAGAGATTGGCAAATTTTTCTGCAAAGGGCCAGAGAGTAAATAGTTTAGGTTTTGTGGGCTATTCGGTCTTTTTCACAACTACCCAACTCCACTGTTACAGTAAAAAGCAGCCATAGCCAACGTATGGCTGTGTTCCAGTAAGTTTATTTTATAACAACAGGTGGCAAATCTGATTAAGCCTGTAAGCCAATTTGCTCATCCAGTTCTAGAGACACAATAAATGTTCATCAGATTAAAATGGATCTACCAATTTTGGAGAAACCAAAAACCTTGTCCTTGCCTTCAAATGATGTATCTTATTCTAAAGCTGTCAGTAGTTGCTGCCTTTAAGACATTATTTGCAGGCAAACCCACTTCAGGCACTCAATAACCAGTTGTAGAACTGAATGAACTGAATGGGGTGGGGTAGGAATGGGACCATGAGGCTGATGTCTGTGCTGAGCTCCCAACCCCCAGCTGTACCGTAGGAAACTACTGGATGTTAGCTAGATGTTCCTGCTCCCAGCATTGATTTCCCACAAATAAACAACTTTACTTCCAAGAAGAGAAGCCATCCCAAGGCCCCATTCTATACGTCCAAACTTTACCTAGCCTTCATTTCAGGCATCTCATGTTATCAAAATCTCTTGAAAGCAGCAGGCACATGGGAAAAGCTTCCACAATGAAGTGGGCCACAAGTTTCAATCCAAGCAGTGAAGACTTCCTGGAGTTTCAGTGTTATTTCATAACAGTAATGAGCACTGAGCTAACCTAGACCTTTTGATAGACACAGCACAATAATCAGAAAAATCTGTATGAAAAAAAGATGAAAAAAGAGAGGCCTTTCCAATTATGAACTTTGTGAGGGAGAACCATGTATTATTCATCTTGCCTAGCCAGAATACCTGGCATATACCAGATGCAGAAATGTTTGCTGATGAATGAATGAATGAATTTAATGAAGCCAAGAACCTAGATAATTAAGTTTGCCAAAACACACGCATTCTCCAGATCCCCCAATCATGCTTCAATGTCAGTAAGAGCTATAGGAAAGTTGGAAACATCCCAGCTATGAGTGCAGGAACTCCCATTCCCCTAACTTTCTCAGTAGACTCACCATCTTGAGTGTTTGGACTCAGGATTTGGGTCCGGAGTTCCTGTAGGCTAATTCCCAGACACCTGCAGACCTCCTCGGGGCTATAAGGCTCAGTGTGAAGGGCATCCTCTGTGATCAACAGCATTTCTTCCAGACTGACCCCTAGTTTGGCCTGTACCTCCTCCAGCCGCAGTACTTTATCCCATTGCAAGCCTTTGTACTTAGCCAGGAGCTGCAAGTTCAAGATAGTAGTTTTCATTTCAGAAATAGATATGAACTATTTTAATTAGCCAAATTCAACTTTAAGCTTTTATTCATTTTTCTTCATTCAACCTATCCACATTTCCCATTATTGCTTGAAAATGTACACTGGGTTCATTCAGATGTTTGGAATTAAACATGCTTGTGTGACACTCACAGGCTAGCTAAGTATTTTCCTTATAAAAAAAATGAATCCCCCCACTGATTTTTTTTCTCCTGTCACCACTTTCCCTAAGGACTATTTCTTTGAATATTTTTGTTCTTTTATCCCTATTTAGTTCATCCTTAATACACCATTCTATAAATTCTACAGAAAACTGCTCAAATCTCATGTGACCTGGGTCCTGAGGTGGATACTGTATGCCTAATTTCATTAAAGCACTTCCTGTTTACCACATACCTCTTTGAAAAATGGCTAACGAGTTTAAGATCTTTCTTCTGGCCTTGTTTGCTTAGCACATTTACTTAGTGTTTATTACTCATGCTGGACCCAGAACTCCACAGATTGACTCATTCATTCATTTCATTCATACATTCATGGTCTATATTCTAATGTATTCCAAAATAATTTGAGAAAACTTATAAAGACATACATAAAACAAAAGAAAAAGATATATTTATTATATACAGATATAGAGGATATTTTGCCAATGGATTTCAGCCCTGGACAAGTTCACTATGGATTCAATGACCAAAGAAATGACAGTGGAACGTTCTTGGGGTGAAAGGGTTATACCCAACTTTGCTCCCACGGTGGCAAGTCAGTCACTAGAATCCCGTCCACTCAGAGTGAGTCTGCATGCGGCAAGCCGGTCTCTGCCTCTGGGCCTCTCTGCTGCACAGCTGTCCTCTGTGCCTCTCTACCCCCATAGCTGTCTTTGTCTTCAGTGCTGCCATCACTCCAGTCTTGTCTCTGCTCTCCTGCAGCCTTGCAACCATGCCACTGTGTTGCCCAGAGCACTGGGTGAAGCTCTTTATATACAGTCAATAACAACATATTGCCCACAGGTGTGCAGTGAGCTAGCCGACCAGAGCCAGGTGAGAATCCTGACCACAGAAACCTTCACTTTATGCACAGATGATCTCCTAGAATGACACTTTCTCAAAACAGATCCAGATTCAACTGAGATAAGCAATGAAGCCAATAGAAGTAATTAACATCTGTCTGCTGCTATATGATTTAAAATGTGCTTTTTATTTCTTTTAATCTTCAGCAACCCATGAGATGGGTAGTATTACTACTCTAAGAGATGAGAATAAGCAACTTACTCAAAGTCACCTACCAAGAAAACTGAACCCAGGTCCTCCACCTCTCGCTTCCCTCTCCAAGGCCACACTGTCAGGGAGGCATGGCTAATACCTGTGTGGTGCTCCTCACAAATTGCTACTCAGGTGTTGCAAATGCATTTCTCAACACAAACTAAGATTTGTGTTAGAAGTGAATATTCCAGTGATTAAAAACACTCTGATGGTTTCCTTTTAAGAAAAACAAACAGTAAAAACATCAAAGAGCCCCCAAGTGAAGAGGGTGGGCTTTTCCTAGAACCTTCCACACAGAACAATCTCCAGGTTCCCATCCCTGGCCTCGCTTGAACAGGTCACATTGCCTCAGGCACTAGTTCTCAGGAAACTGGGGCAGGCAAAGGATGTATGAGAAGAAAATCTTCGAGTGATGCCTGCTGCCTCCAAGGCTGTTTTCAAAGCAGCCTCCGTATGTGCTTTTCTTCTGCAGACAGAGGCACTACGCATTTAATTTTAAGTGTAAAAGTCCACATTTACTCCAACAGTATCCCAGTTTGCTGTTGGGTCTGCTTAGCCCTCAGCGGGAAGGTCCACACAGGCAATTTGGTGTGTGTTTCAATTAAGGATGAAATCTACCACACACTCTCAGTTACAGCTGCACAGCCAGAAGCCACTCAAAGTGTGCTACATTGTGGAATGAAATAGGAAAACTGCTTAAGCCCTTTGAAATTTGGCTCAGGAAACAAAAAGATGACTTGCAGATGAGGGAAGTGGGTGGGTAAGATCACTGTCACTCAAAGACAGAACTCATGAGGAAATGTGCCACTTGAGGCCCTGGTGATTGGCTTCCTTCCTATTTGGGAAGCTGGGCTATGAGTCAGGACTCTGGTTCATTCCATCACAAGTTTCTCAGTCAGTAGCAGGGTGGAGAAATACGAGAAAGCAGTTCTTTGCCAACATTCACCATTTTCCTTTCACCACTGCAAACATAAGTATTCATATCAGACAGCACTTCTGTGAGATTCCTGAACCTGTTCCATGCTCTGTGACAAGAAAACAGGAAACAAGTGCTTTGTCTAAGGTCATGGAAAAAGGCAGATAATTAGTGCTAGGACCCGGTCTCAGAAGCAGGCCCTGGGACAAGAATTTAGAGGGTACAGTGATTCCAAGAAGTCCTGGTGGAGGAACAGAAAGTGAGATGGGAACAGAAGCCAGTACATGGTCCACTGGTGGGGTCAGGATGAGGGCTGGGCCTGCTGGGCCATATGAGACCTGTATGTATAAACCTCAGATGTGTCCTACTGAGACAGGGACCATGGGTGTAGTCAGGGTGAGGGCATCCGGAAAAAACAAGGCAGGATAATTATAGTCAGCAGTGTAACTACATGCAAGGAAACCCCCATCAAAACTCTGTGTCAAACAGGAAGCTCTAGAGTCTTTCTTCAGTGAGATCAGTTGATATTCCCCAGATAAAGAAAAGTAGCGGATATTTTTATTATGCTAATCGTTTGTAATCATGTGTAAGATTCACTTAGCAAGCTAAAAGGGATTTAATGTCTCATCAAAGACAAACATCCTAAGACCACTTAACAAGTCCACACCCCTAAGCTCTTTATCAGTTCCCCAAAATCCTCAACTGCCTATAAATCCCCTAGACAACACACCACCCCGGGCTCTCTTGTCCCCTCCTGGTGTGAGCCAGGAGCTCTGTCCTCTCACTTTCTCTCTAAATAAAAGCCTCTCCCTGGCCCTCCCACCTTGAGTGTTTGCTATGTTCATTCTTCGACTGCAAACAAGAACCCCGGCATCACTACTCATGGGGGAAAAGGCTGGTATATTTACCTACTAACTCTCATACATGATTAGTGGAGTGCTACTTCCAAGGGTATTAGCTCGGCACTTCCAGGTTGTTTCAGGTGGCAAACTAAGAGCACTCCTGCAGCTGGAAAAAACCCTCAGTCCAAGAGTCACCAGGGTTTCTAATTAGAGGGTATGGTAGGGGAGTGCTAAGATATGGACCCCAACTCAGGAGTCTATCTGTCAGAATCCAGCTCTCTTTGGCCTTCCCATTGCATTTAGCAAATCAACAGAATTATTAACAAATCAGTGGAAAAAGTACCAAGTCTTCTCATCAGGTCTGCAAAGGCTAAAATTTCTAATCCCTTTTCCCAGTTACCTCTAAAAACAATTCATTCAACAAGTTGTTTTATACACAACAAAAGCAGCTCTGTTGTAGTTGTTTCTGGCTATCTAAATCACACACACTCATTTCTAAAACTTCAATATACACATAACTGAAGTGCAAAAAAAATACAAAGTAAAATAGATCAAAGTAAACTAAATCATCTGGGGTGACCCAGTGAGATGACCACCAACCACTGTTTGTTGACCACCCTATTATACATTTCTGATGCAAACTTTATACATACCTGCACACATAGTTTGACATCAATGGGATTATACATAGCTGATTTTTATCATGAATACTTGTTACTTTTTGCTTATATTCCTCTTCCAGCTACAGACTGTTTATCCTAGTCTTCTGCAACAGTTAGTGACTTCGGTGGCCACATTCTGCTCATAGCCATCATACAGTCACCACATGGACCTTTCCCAACATTCACCACCCCCACTGTTCCTGTTCTCCATATTATTTTGCAGGCCAAGGCCACAGAATAAATCTGAAGGAACCTGTATGACTGTGCAGAATGGACCTATACAAACATCACGGCACCGCCAGCATAGCCTGCCTTTTTTCTAAGGTGCCCCCAAGCATCATGCTCTGGGGATCTCCTTTGTGCCTAATTCCTAAGGGGTATAATAAAAAGAGTTGGGGCAAAGGCAGACCTGGACTCCTGCACATACTTAAAACAAGTCACAGTTTACGTTGGCCCAGAACTCCCAGTGTATAAAATGGGGCATTTAATGGCTACTTCACAAGCTACTGTGAAGATTAAATAAGATAATGTTGCCGGGCATCTGTGTTTGGGGAGGTCTCTCCCTGCAGACCAGGTGAAACCTCAGCCTACATGTGGGAGGCTTCTTGGCTCTGAACAAGAAAGAATTCTCGAGCAGGTCAGACCAGTGCAGGTAAGCAAGGAATTCATTAAAGCAAGAGCAGCAGGGAATGGCAGCTGCCTTGCAGGCAGCAGAGAACAGGGAAGTGCAGAGGGACAGAGGGAAAGTTTTCAGCCTAGGGCAGATTCCCTTGGCATCCTGTGTCCACTTGGATCTGCACGGCGTGGGGACTAGCCCCTACCACCCCAGGATTTTGGGGAGCCATGGAACATGGATGGAGTGAGATTACGTTCTGAGAACTTCACAAAGAAAGGAGATTTTCAGGCAGGCTACTAAGATTAGATCGCAAAGCTGCAGTTCTGTCTGGATCACCTAAGCGACAGGAACTTGCAGGCCCAAATCAGAGCTCTCAGCAGCCCCTCCCTATTTATCAAGAGTAAAGTGGAGACAGATTGAAGATTTGGAAATAGAATAAAATAGCAAAGAGACAAAACACAATAACTGAACAGTGAGAAAACTTTATTTAAAAGTACACACTTTAAGAAAGTGCGGGCGTTCTCAGCAAGAAGGTGCACTGAAACACTGGGGATTCTGTCTTTTTAACGCTTTCAGGAAGGTAGAAAGGGTGGGGGGTGGTTGTTGGGGGTAGGCTTGACTTGTGATCTCATGACATCTCTCCCTAGTGAAGGATACTATGTCCTCAACCATAGT